ACGTATAATAGATGTGAGTGTTTGTGTGTGTGTGTGTGTGTGTGTGTGTGTGTGTGTGTGTGTGTGTGTGTGTGTGTGTGTGTGTGTGTGTGTACTGTACAGCACACACACACACACACACACACACACACACACACACACACACGCATGAATGTTTTTGCACTGTTGGAGGACAGTGGAGTACTCTGAGAAAACCCACGCTGGTACGGTAGAAGATGCAAACTCCACATAGGAAGTGAGGCTGACGTGCTAACCAGTCGACAACCGTGCTGCCCTAAAAATGTGTTTTTGATGCCGTTGGAGATGCAGTAGTTCCATGTATTCATTGTTTACCACCATACAGATTGAGCTCTTTCTCTGTCCCGATCCAAATAAAACCACATTTTACATACCGGTAATTAAAAATATTTTTTTTCACCAGTTGCAATGGTAACCACTGTCATCACCTGCTTGGCTTGCTCTTTTTGTCTTAGCGCTGCCTTAGTGTGGACAAAGTAACCAGGAAGGGAATTGAGTCAACAACAACAAAAAAAAAGTTTAATATCCTCCATTATCATGCCAAAACATGAAACTAGTACTGTCCTGCCCGCAACACTCCAAAGTACACTGTACTTCTCTCTTCCTTTCTCTGCGCCCCTCGACTCCCTAATGCAATTACCAGTCGCACTCACAGTTAGCTTCATGACCGAGCAGACAAATGGAAATTACTGAAATAATTAGCAATCAGCTCACCACAACTGCAGGCTTACAACAATATTCAATCATAGGACACCACCAGTGAACGCCCGCGCGTACCATCGGTGGTAGTACATGTACCACACTCTGAGAATCATTGATCTACGCTAATCAAAAGATTAATGCAGACTTTTACTTTTTGCTGCTGTTATTCATGAGCTGAGCTCAAACATATAAGGCTTTTTCAATGGACTCCAGAGGTACACAAAAGGCATATTCCTGTAAAATATTTCTCACGAATGTCTGTGCAGGTCTTTGCGCACTCTACTGCACTGCGTGCAATGAACCATCGACGAAACCATTCATTGTGTATGTGCTGTGAGGGTGCAAGGATGGAACATCGTGTAGCACCGCGGTGTGACATAGAAGCATGTGCCACAACGCAATGCAGCCTTGAATAGAATACGTTAAAGTCGAGAGCAGCGTCGCTGTGACATCAGATGGAACATCCAATTGAAGACATGCTGGCAGGGGGATTTCAGAGCGCTAACAGCAATAGACTAAACAGCTGCAAAAGCCTCCCTGTTACTTGCTGGTAGGGTTCTTCACAATCCCTTCCAAAAATGGGCAAACTTCCACCAGGAGTGTTGTTGTCCTTGCGTGCTGCCCACAAGCCTTTTACTCTGTATGAGTGAGAACTGCTTCTTTGTCCATATAATCCATCTGCCTCTTCGGACATCATGATTCGAAAACATCATAATTCTTGCAAAGGTGTGCCTTAGGCCAGTGTTTTTCAAACTTTTTTGAGCCAAGGCACACTTCTTTCATTGAAAAAAATCTCGCGGCACACCCCTAGCTGAAAATGTGGCCCCCCCCCCCCCGCTTATTTTAACAATTAACGTGTTATATTGTTACTATAACCGTTTTTAACATTGAAGAATGACGTTATAACAGCTTGAATTGGAATCAAATGAACACAAAGAAACCAGTATTTTATCATCCTTCATATTTATTGTTTCACCGTCGTTCTGCATTCATGCGTTACAAATTCGCTTGTCTCGTCGAAACACAAGGCAATTGGCTAGCTGCTGCTGCTCCCTAGCGGTATGAGAGGGTACTACATGATTACTTTCTGGGCGAAAGACCGCACAGGCATACCAATTGGATATTTTCCCGCGGCACACCCGACAATGTCTCGCAGCACACTGGTTGAAAAACACTGCCTTAGGCTGCCCACAATAAAATGCCACTCTAAAATGTTTAGAGCGCCAATGCCACAGATGCCGCAAGTTTTGAGGGAGCGTGCTATTGGCATGCTACTGCAGGAATGCCCACCGGGGCGGTGATCCCTGAATTGAAAAGCTGCTAATTTCTTTCCCATTAGTTTAGGTGCAGAGGTACAAGGTTCAATTCCGGCTCTGGTCTTCCTGTGTGGAGTTTGCATGTTCTCCCGGTGCCTGCGTGGGTTTTCTCCAGGTACTCTGGTTTCCTCCCATATTCCAAAAACATGCATGGCAGGTTAATGGAACACTCCAAATTGTCTGTAGGTGTGATTGTGAACGCGAATGGTTGTTCGTCGATGTGTGCCCTGCGATTGTTCAGGGTGTACCCCGCCTACCGCCCGAAGACACCTGGGATAGGCTCCAGCACACCTGTGACCCTCGTGAGGAGAAGCATATTCAAAAATGGAAGGACGCATGGATGGTCTATATTGTTTCATGCGAGTGATTCACTGTGGCATCATCTGAAGGGAAAGTCTTTGTACTCTTTGGCCTCCTAGTTACACTTCTTTGCCTATTTGGAATAAGGTAGGGAAAGTAATGCAGAGTTGAAAGAGAAAGAAATTAACCTGAAGTGCTAAAGCAATGTGTTACTGCAAATAGCACTTTAACAGCAAGTACTTCTTTATTCAATCAACATAGCCAAAAGTTCTTTTTCAGTGTTGACTCCATTACCCATTAGCTCAGTAACGATGATGTGCACCATCACGGAAGGAAAGTAGTCAACATGCACACATTGATTGATGACTGGGAGTTCAGTCCAGTATCGTGTTCCGCGAGGAGGTGAGGGATTATCGGGAATTGCATCGGAATCATTTCCGATGGCCTGCCACTCAGCCAAACTAAGTTTTGCAGGGGTAGGTTTTTGTCCTCTATGTCAAGACAGTAAGTACCCTTTGTTATAACCTCAACTGTCATTTTGCTTTTTCTATAGGGATCCAATACGCTTCTGAGAATTTGTGGAGCATGTGCGCTGGGGTCTTTGTATACCTGGTGGTGTGTGTGTGTATGTGTGTGTGTGTGTGTGTGTGTGTGTGTGTGTGTGTGTGTGTGTGTGTGTGTGTGTACGAGTGTGTCAGGTTGTGTCGATGTTGTGGTCCGTGATGTCCTCACTGCTCCCTCTTGCTGTCCTCTCTCATGTACGTACACCCTCCCCGCGCCTTACAGGAGATTTGGATGGCCATTGGTGGGACCATGCGTCTTGGCATAGCAGCGAGGCCTCCCCAATGTCTTTGGTGAGACATGTGGAGCCCCCTCCCTCCTGCCTCGTAACCTCTCTCTGTCTCTCTTTCTCTCTCTCTCCTTCTCCTCCCCTTGTCCCTTGTACTCCAGAGTCTATTGTCATATCACATTTCCTTTGTTTTATTTACACCTTTGCATGTTGTTTTTCTGTTTTCTTTCTGTTTTTATCCCAAACCTTTAGGCGACAGTCAAAGGGGAAAAAGAAAAACAATTGAGCAGGCATTTATGTCTGAGCCGGCACACACCTTATCTGAAAGGCAAAAGAAAATGGTACGCTTTGGGGGACACTCATTTGAAGAGGACTTGGCGTGGTGTGAACCGCAAGTTAAAGACTCAGGAGTTGATACGTGCAGTAGCACTACCCTAAACGAGGAGCATAGCCATAGTGAGAAGGTACTGAGACAATTGAGCCTGCATCTTTTTTTAATCTATTTATGACCTCCCCGTCTTTGTTTGCTCTGTGTCACTAAGTGTAAATAGGTTAGATGTTTGTTTTGTTGCGTTTTATTTGACGTTGTCTAAGTTCCATTTTTTTCTTTCCGATTTTGTTCCTTTTTTTTATTTGGGTTAATTATGGCTGCACCTTGCTTGGTGTGGCTGAAAAAAAAAAGTATTGCAGGGACACCCTCTTTGCTTGCTACTTGTACTTGCTGTTTTTCTCCCCAATAGAAATAAATAAAAAAAGAACACACACACCTTACAATCGCAGTCGTAAAAACCACCACTGACACTGATCCTCTCTGTTTGTCATGGCACAATGGAATGTGTGTCTCTCCTAGTTGCATGCTCGTTTTCGTATGTTGTGTTGTTGCTCTGCAGCGGTCCTGTTAAAAGCGACAGGAAAACCTTCGGCCATCCCTCTCACTTTGCTGCCCTCCCCCACAGCAACCAGTCCAGATAAAACCTTCCCTTGGCCAATATTCCACCCACTTTTATACTAAAACCCAACTGATTGTCAGCACACCTAATAGGGGAGAGTGGATTTTTTTTCTCCCTTTTTTTTTTTTTTTTTTACCAACATGTTTTTCTTGTTTCCCCTTCCACTGCTGTGTCTGTTTTCACTCCATGTGTGTCTCACTGCTTTGTTGTGCGCAATGTGCTTTCCTTGTTTTGTTTTGTTTTCATATCTCTGTCTTTATTTTGGTTCCTGTATTGAAGATGACCCTTTTAACCCTTGTCATAGTCTGCTATCCCTTCAATCATTCCTCTTGAAAATATGGCTGGATACGCGCAGCCAAGTTTGATTCGCTGGGCCTGCTTGCTTTACTCTGCATGGGGCACTGCATGAGGCTTTTTTCCACCCGTCACCCTGGCAGGTTCACAAAAGCTCCAGAAAGAACAAGGCTATTAACAATTTGTTAAATCTCACATTGACTCTAAAGTATGAAATCAACAGATTTCATAAATGATTCGTTTTCTGAGGTGGAAAATTGAAAAGAAAAAAAATCAATCAATAAATGAACGTTAAAAATATCTTTTATCGTACTGCACTTGAGCGTTGAGCTTGTGTGAACTTTCTCCCTCTAAGTGAATAAACACTTCCCCAATTGCCCCCATTCACTGAACTTATCTCAAGTGATCACATTCAAGTTTGTAAACACAAAGTGTGTTGTTGCTCTGACCTCTTAGCATCCGGTGACGTGGCAGCCGTCCAAAGACGGGGATCGCCTAATAGGGCGCATTTTGCTCAATAAGAGAATGAAAGATGGAAGTGTGCCTCGAGACTCAGGAGCTCTGCTTGGTCTTAAGGTGAGCTTACTCTGGGAGTGTTTTGATCGGTATTGTGCTCTCATTTTGTGTGATTTTCACCTGCTGCCTCCAATATCTCTTTACTTTCCTTTCTTTTAATTTTCAGTGGGACTTGACTCTGGTCCTCATGATTGTTTGATAAGAGCACGCTTGAAATTGAAACCTCTAAAATGATTACGTTACATATTAGAGCACATGCGGCATCCCCACATACACTCAAGTGCCACTGGTGTCGCTTGCATACAAAGATAACAAAAAGAACTGAAGTCCAGATAGAGAAAGGACCTGAAGGAGAGTGGACAAAGAACAGCGGGTAGGGGGGGATGGGGGATATCATTTTTGATTAAATGAGCCTCCGAAAAATGCACATTTGTGTCTGCTCGGTGCCTTTGTGCGTTTCTGTCTCCTCAGCAGCAGCAAACGCACTCTGCAGGCCAGCCAGTCAGTCCATCATTCATGCCGCCAGCTTTGCCCTCACAGTCCATCCCTCTCCGTTCTCCTCTGCGAGGCCCCCCGCTTCGGCCTCAGTTTGTTATATAAAGCCATTTCATTTGCAAACCTCCCTAAGCTCCTTTGTATGTTGGCATTCAGCCTCCATTAAGCAGGATTTTATTTGTATGACGAGAGTGGAGTATGGCATCTCGACGATAGTACAGTTCTAGCCCACAGGCTTGCACTGTTACCGAACCACAGAACAGGACTAGTGTGTGTGCCAGAGTACTAAAGCATTACCCTGGTCATATAAGCAGAAAGAAAACAAAGTCTATTGTCTCTTGTGTCAGACTTTTGGTTGCGTTTCTGTAGTATCATACTTGAAAACTGGCTGCAGACAAACAGGAGTACGCATTGTAACTGGAGGCGATCTGGTCACAGGTTTTCCCAGAAAGAGGTTTCATTTCCATCAATGTGTAGTTGCCCTGACATTTACCTCTCTTCTTCACCACAGGTGGTCGGAGGCAAGATGACAGAATCTGGCAGACTTTGTGCTTTCATCACTAAAGTGAGAAAAGGAAGTCTAGCTGATACTGTCGGGCACCTCAGACCAGGTATTCAGAACAACCCGAATATTGACATCTTATTAAAAAAAAAAATGTGGTAACCTCTGGAACAAGCACTTGAGTTTCATAAAATGTAATGGTTTTACAGGTGACCAGGTGCTGGAATGGAATGGAAGGCTTTTACAAGGAGCCACATTTAAAGAAGTTTACAATATAATTTTAGAATCCAAGCCTGAACCACAAGTGGAACTGGTGGTCTCACGGCCCATCGGGTGAGAGCTCACAACTCAATTCAATGTGCTACTCTAATCCTTTTGTGACACCTCATCTGTGTCCTGAGTGTGTTTGTACATGCGTTAGAATTCTCTGATATTTTTCACATCCACTATAAATGTATTGTTATTATTATTATTGTTGTTGTTGTTGTTAGATTGGTGAAGCTTACAAAATGATCAATATTGAAATGTATAGGTTATTGGACTACTTTATTTTGACCAGCCCACATCAGTCAGACTTGGTTTGGAAAAGTGTAGCCCTCAAAATATGACTTAATTATACAAGACTGTTCTGACTTATTTCAGGAAAACAAAATTATTCACCATCAACTTTCATTTCGAGTGTGTCGAAGTTTCTATGCAGTCTGGGGAAAAGAATGAAATAGTCCAATGTCTGAAAACAACAGACTTTTCAAGAACACGTATCACGGTGAAAAAATATTGTGTCTGAGAGCAAAAAGATTCATTCACATAAAAGTGTATAAAGAAAAATTTTTCTCCGGCAAATTATACTATATTAAGCGACCAGCTCTCGAGCCAAAAATGCGAGCAGATAATTGAATCCTGTTGTTGTCTCCCGGGGAGAGCTCCTACAAAGGCTTGAAGTCACAACCTACGCTGTATTGTGGCCACCCCTAATCAATGCGCACAAGGAGAAACGTTTGCAGTGGGCTCAAAAATACATGGAGACTAATTTTCAGCAATGACAGAATGTTCAGTGATAAAAGGCTTTGCCAATATGGATGGTCCTGCTGGCTGGCGTTTTGGTTGGTTGTTGAATGAACTTATAAGGTGCATAGAATAGGAGCTACAATAGTGGCTGTGGTTGCGTTATGCATCTACTAGATGCTATCTAAAGGGAATACAATACAATACAATATAGCTTTATTTATGTAGAGCTTTCTCAACCGCTGCATCTGTAACAAAGCGCTTTACTGAACATTTAAAATACTACGTCCAAGAAATCAGAATATCAATCCATATATAAGGCGTATCGGATTATAAGGCGCGCTGTCGGCTTTAGAGAAAATTGAATGCTTTTAGGTGCACCTAATAGTGCTGAAAATATGGAAAATGAATACCGTAAAAATCATTTTTTTTCGCTACTTGTGTATAATACGGTCCTCCAATTTGCTGGCATCCTTAATTTTCAGAGTGAATAAAATGAATGAATTAAAACATTCCAATGAAGTGTAAATGTTTTTTAAATCCAGGTTAAAAACTGTGCTGTTTTAATTATATATATATATATATATATATATATGTATAAAACAGCCCCTAGAGACTGCCAACGCACTGGTAAATATCAAAACAATGTGAACATTTTTCATTTCTTAGAAAGCCCCCTGTATTTTAATCCCCCCCCCCCGATTTTCGATCTGTTTTTTTTTTCTTCTTTTTCAAATTAAAAGAATAAGATCATTGTCATCACTGGTGGTTTTGAATGGTTCATTCGAAAGCACCGGTATGCTGTAAAAGCCACAACCACAAAATAAATAAATTAATAAATAAATCTGAACTTTTTCCACACACATAAAACTGGGTTATTGTACATTCTGTGCAGACCCTTCTGGTGTGCAGGCACCATGGCCTGACTGTGGCAATAGTGACAGATCGGTGAAGCTGATTTTTGATGTCAAGAAGTTGACAGCATTGCGTTTTTCACACACAGCAACAATGAAGCAAGAATATTGTTTTTCTCATTTGGAGAACTGTTAGCTCTCCACCCAACTAAACATTTGTGATTCAAGGAATGTAGAATATGTACAAAAATGAGAGGAAAAAAAATCATGAATCTTGCCGTGAACTTAAGTGAAAACAGTTACAAGTTAGACAAAAAGCAAAAATACTGTGAGTGCCACACCAAATTATCCACAACAAAAGAAAAAAGCATGATGAGGGGGTGCGCTAAAGCGGAAAGATCTGACTTAACCATCTGAATGCTTCAAAGTGTGACCAGTTAACGCTTCAACATGGAGCTCATCAAAAATTCACGAAGAGTGAACACGCTTTTGGTGAGTTAAAGAGAGGTTAAGAATAGACGGGATAAGGCGGACGATGCTCCTGGGATCGGGAACATCCTCAAATATGCAGTTTGTAAGTTGCAGGAGTCAAAGTTGCGGGCAAAAAGGCTGAGTGGATTTTCTGAACTTAATGATAATTGTTGAAAGAAGAACTGGCATCATGTCACAATTATATCAGTATGATTTTTTTCCCAAATATATACGATTGGTCAGTCCACACCTGTGGTTGTTATTTTTCCTTTTTTTTTATTTTTATTTTTTTAACCGATCTGAAGTGTTGAAAATGGCTTGCGCTCTTTGACGAGGCAATGTTAATGATTGAACAAAGGTGATGGTTTTGGAGGTACAAGGATTTGGATTTTGAATGTTATGCATGCCTAGTCTAAGAATGCATGCTGCCACCATGTGTTCTCGCCTCTTGCCATCTTTCTCGCTCTGGCTGTGACTCTCTCAAGCCTCATATGCGAACATTTCACACACACACACACACACACACACACACACACACACACACACACACACACACAGCAGCAGCAGTTTTAAAAATAAGTCCATTGTTCTGTCTGTCCTGGTTTGTACTGCGAAGGGGTCTGCCGTCTGAATGAAGACTAATGTTGTACTGGAAGCGATTAAAGCACAGTATTAGGTTATCGATTCACTTGTCCTCATCCTTTTCTTTGACACTCACACTTTCTTTCCTCCCTCCCCAGAGATATTCCAAGGATACCAGACAGCACACATGCACAACTGGAATCAAGTGAGTCCTTACCATTTAACATGCTTGGTCCATTACAAAATCCCACTGTGTCTCTTTTTGTATAGGTAGGTTAAAAGTGGTATTCACCCTTTCATGCACCCTGTAACCTGATTACCGGTACATGATTAAGTTGTCCACTGTAGTAACCGCTGTCCCTGAAAGGGTTAACCGATGTACAGCCTAATAAACAGTAGTATGTACTTCACTCCTATTATGGTGGCAATAGTGGCAGCCATTTTCAGCTGTTTCTTTACCCTACCGCGTGATTTAAAACAAAAAACAAAAACATAGAATTACTCGGGATTGAATGCCTGGATCCTGAAAAAAAACCATGAAAAAAACGTCCTTGACACTGAATGAGTTAACTATGTTTAAGACACATCCACACTATAATGATACTCCAAACATTTTATTCCATAGCTAGAGAGTGTTAACTAGTTTCAAGCAATTTATAAACCCTTCATAAGGACAACATCATTCTTCAGTATCCCAAATCTGAATGAATTTCGACGTCGGTCTGCCTCTCTCTATTGCAGTCATGCTACTGTCCCGGCCTCCCTCCCCTTTGTATCATTTCATCATTTCCTTATCGTTTCTCTTGTATCCTTTATATATATTAAAATGAACTATATTTCCTAAATGTTTGCCTCGTGTCGCCTTTCAGGTTCAAGTTCTTTTGAGTCCCAAAAGATGGATCGCCCGTCCATTTCCATCACCTCCCCCATGAGTCCCAACATGCTGAGGGACGCTCCGCAGTACTTGTCAGGACAGCTTTCAGTAAGTGACCTTAAACTGACACGTGGACGATGATAAAAGGCCTTGTGCATTGGTGACGCGAGTTATGAACTGGAGCCACGTCCTATTGACGTTTTTCATTTTCCTTTGTATCATTTTCAATGCGCACACTGACATAACTCGAGAAAAGGGTGTGCGAGTTTGTTAAGGCAAACGGGCACAGAGTCACATATATTTGGCTGACCTTTTTACCATCCCAACTCTGGAGTGTCAGTGATACGATGTGTCCATTTTCTAGTTTGAAAACCCTCCTTGGATGAATGGGTCAAACAGTTACACTGAAATATGGACATGATCGGATTGTATAAATTGGGATTGCCAAGAAATACGTCGTGAGTGTGCGCGCGCATGTGTGTGTGTGTGTGTGTGTGTGTGTGTGTGTGAGAGACTGTGTGTTTTATGCAATGAAAAATGTTCACGTGAGGAAAACGCTAGATTCGTAAAATATTGTCGTCAACGTAAAAACTTTGTGGGGATAATGACACAAGAAGCCAGGTTTGGCGCTCGAGTCCGGTAATTGCACATCCGCAACATCTGATAAGCAGCGAAGAGACATCTCCGGGAAGAAAAAAAATCTCCAAAATATAAATGAGCCGACAAAAACAATAATACCCTAAAAGTACACACACCTGTCTTTGTGTTTGGGTGAATTGTGAGTTGATGTTGTTTTGTGGGATATTGGTTTTATCGCATTTCCCTTTGTTGTTAATTTTGCTTATCCAGAGCCAAAGCCTTAGTAGAAGAACACCGCCTATTCCCCCTAGGGTCCAGGTAATGGGCCCTGTCTGAAGGGCACCCTCTATTGGTCTTTGCTCTTTGACTGTTGACTGGCCTTTTTCTGTTTCCATACTTGGGAAAATGCATTTCCAGGGAAATTAATGCTTTGTGTTTCCCTGTCAGTGCAGTGCCTTGTGTTACATTCTTTTCTATGATTTCTTGCTATCACCATTTTGATTCGAGTTATGATGTATTGCTCATTTTAACCCATTCATGTCAGTTTGCCAAGGCAGTGCATGCCCAACTAATCGACATCAGAAAAAAAAAAAAAGTTTCCATTGCCTCGTTCACTTTTACTGATGTTACATTTACGGTATATGTGATTTTGACATACACAGTTGCAGGAGAGTGTTTTAAGGACAGAGGACTGGATTTATTTTCCACATCATTATAAAATAAACCCACCTTTATACATAACTACATCATCATCATCACACACACACACACACACACACACACACACACACACACACACACACACACACTTCTCCAGAAATACCTTTCCTTGTGTGTTCTAATGATACAGTAGTGTAAAGTGTTCTAAATCCAGTTTTGAACTTGTTTGAGGTGCCATTTTGCAGCAAAAGCAGAGTTGAACATCTCATTTTACAGCCAAACTATCATGAATCTTCCAGGTCAACTATACACGACTACTGCGCATTCGTAATGGCACCAAAACAGAGATGGGCTCCTCATCTCTGTTTAATCTTTGACAGCAAGGACTTCTCTTGGATATCAGCCATGTCCTTCGAAAACTCTGATGGATTTGGGGTTTCAAATTTTGATTGTTCATTTTGCACAAAAAGTCGTAGAGATTCTTATAGACAGCTGGAATGACTGTCAAACTCATTGGCAGAATATTAGACCTTGTTTTTGTGTGTGTGTGTGTGTGTGTGTGTGTGTGTGTGTGTGTGTGTGGGGGTGTGTGTGGGTGGGTCTGGGTGTGGGTGTGTCTGTGTGGGTGTCTTTTCGGTTCAAAAAGTCTAGGTGATTTCATTGTATTTTTTAAGAGCCATAAATGTGTGTTCATAATAATATAATCAATTATAACATGGGCATTTCTTGTACAATCAATTTGCTCCAAAGTTGCAAGCATGTGTTGGCTGATCCCAGGTAATGGATAAAGCCCACACCTTACTTCAAAGGAGTCATTCATAAAAGTACTTTAATAACCGATGCCAATGATGATTGATCAAATTTCTCATGAGGTTTTGTGAAAGTTGTCAGCATTTCTATAGTTGTGGCTATTGTGCTAAAAACATATGACCATAGCCTTCGAATTCACAGCAACCAAGTATTGTGCAGTGGTATCGACTAAACCTTTTTAAAAAAGGGCAAAAGTAGAACTTGGTGATGCCATTTTAAAAACTGCTTGAAAATGGGTCCCATTGTTATGATGCAGAGAGAAGTCTCTGATGCCTTCAGATAAAAGTGTGCATTTTGCATTGGTTGAGGAAAAGCTCAGTTTGAAAAAAAATTCTGGATCAAACAGCTTAGTACTTAAATCAGCTTGTTAACTAACACCCTTTTGTACTGTCACGGGGAGACTTGGTTGTCGATGTCTTGCATTTTGACGCTATTATCGTGTTTTATTAGTGGGTTTTTTTGTTTAATGAATTTGCACACAAATATATGATCACGTCATGTTGATTGACATGCAGCATTCTTTTAGTAGTCTACTTTTGACATTTAAATTTATGTGGAACAACTTTAGTGACAAACTCCCGTCCGTCTATGTTTACATTTTCTCGGCGACCTTGGCTGCATTCTTTTACAATGCTGCATGGATAGCTGGTAGTTTCACTTGCTCTCCATTATCATATTCTTGAAGAAGTATGGACAGTAACTTAGAAGATGTCTTTTTTTTCTCCATCTCATCCAGTTGCTTTGAGGCCACTGTTAAGAGTTTTACCTCTTCTAAGTGTCTGCTTTTGGAGTCCATACTTCTCGTTTTTTTACTACCTTTGATTAGTCTTGCAAGAGCATGATTGATTTGTCAATATCAGTGCCCTTTGTCCAATATCGGAGACATTATTAAAGACAACATCATCACTGCAAGATGGCATTATTTCCCTTGAGCTCATGCTGGCAATGTTAGAGCATCTTTCTTCTTTCTTGAAGTATTTCTCTTCAACTTTGGTTCAATGAGAACCAGATGAATTACAGACAATTCCTCTCCCTAATATTTATTCTTCTGTGCAAGAGAAACACTACGGGATGAATGATCGGCCCAGACCCAAACATCCACAATCATATACACTTATCCACACACACACACACACACACACACACACACACACACACACACACACACACACACACACACACACACACACACAGAGAGGACCTGATTTTGTAGTCAACAACTGTGCTACATAGGGGAAACTCATACACAAGGCAACTGTTTAGTTTGATTAAGTCGCAGACACATTTAAGAGAAAATATAAACACATAACGCATCAATGCCAGCACTGTCCACTTGAATGACCTCGTATTCTAATTCAGTACTTTCAGGCAGGTGACTTTATAAGATAGTCATCTCGGGAACAGAGAGGACCTCATTTTGTAGTCAACAACTGTGCTACATAGGGGAAACAAAAGTCCATGCCAAGATTTAATAGAGCCTAGTGAAGTTGTCTTCCCCAGCATTATTCACTTTGTGTATTTTCGCATCTTATGGCTCAGATCGCCGTGACTGAATTAAGTTTGTTTTCTGCACTTGCAGGTTAAATTGTGGTATGACAAAGTTGGCCATCAATTAATAGTCACCATACTGGGAGCCAAAGACCTGCCACCCAGGGAAGATGGTCGGCCCAGGAACCCTTACGTGAAAATCTACTTCCTCCCTGATAGAAGGTGAGCGCTGGGACCGTTCCCGTCCATGGTAACATGTGGTGATTTGCGAACGTTTTCAGTGTCATGTCTGTCCACACTCCCATCATTCCGCAGTTGGGTGTGCACTGAACCACAGTGCCCTTTGACTTTGTGGTTCTTTAACCTTTGGATCGTCGGCGAAAATAATTTGAATTGTTGTTCCCCCAGTGACAAAAGCAAGAGGAGAACAAAAACAGTCAAGAAATCCTTAGAGCCCAAATGGAACCAGACTTTTATGTATTCCCCGGTACATCGGCGGGAGTTTCGAGAGCGCATGTTGGAGATCACGTTATGGGATCAAGCCAGAGTGAGGGAAGAGGAGAGTGAATTCTTGGGAGAGGTAAGAAAGACAAAAAAGACAGCTCCAAAATCTGTACACTCTACATCCATATGTGTTGGAACACAGTTACCGTATTTATCATTTTTACCATAATCAGGGATTGCGTTCATCCCCTTACTTCTTAATTGTACATCTAGCCAAGTTATTTTGTTCCCAATTGTTTTCCAGCAGTGCCTTTGTTACAAATACTGCAGCCTGGCCCATGGTTGGATGAGTTAGGTGTAGAAAAACTATTTTCACTTCCAATTTTCTGCCCAATGATACTAGGCTTTGCATGATCGGGATTTGGGGGCAAAAAGAAAACCCTGATCATCGATCCAATCAGAAGATGGAGCAGTAAATCAATTTAAACAACTTGTACATTTCCTCGACAGTCGACACCCACCATTCACGTCGAATAAGTACCGTACGGGTCCATGAAAAGCAAAAATCCACATAAAATTGATGGCCATTGAAATGTATTGGCCACTGATAAATGTTAAATATATATTACGTGTTTACAACATCTCTTTCTTTGACGAAAAATGAAAATGGAAAAAAATAAATGCATGAACATCGGCAGTCAATCAGGTGGCCGGGGCTTTTGCTAAAACTTTGGCTAACGCTAAAATCATTGCTGTCTTAGTTCAGGAGCTGCTAACAAGTCGAAACACTTAAGCAGCTAGGCTAACTTCCTCGCTCCACATTCTGCCTGCTCAGTTTTGGCTCGCATTGGAAGCTGACCACAGTAATTGGTTGGTCTTGCATTACAGTATTGTCCAACTTTTGCCTGCCTAGCTTATTGTGTGTGTGCATGTGCCGTAGTAACCATATTCTCAAAGTCGTTTGGCTGTGGCAAAGATTTGCCCCCATCTACACAAATTTTATTGACTTTATATGTAATTGTGTAGCGAGAATAGCCTAACTCACATTCGGTATGACTGCAGTACATCTTGTATCCTCGTTGAGCCAAAATTTTGTGCGTCAACAACGCATACGTTTCCGTCTTATTTACATAACAACACGCCCACCTCCTTTTTGCATCTGTGATTGGCTGAATGTGTGTGGCCGAAGTTCTTGGAACTGCTGCCTGGTGATGAAAAGCTATTTTGATGTGATTATGGCCACATCGTTTGTGTTCTTAATTTAAAAATATTTTAAAATGAAATCATTAACACACATACTGTGGCTGGTTGGTTTTTATGTACCATAAAACTACATCAATCCTATTCCTTTCTGATTGGATGTTCAAAGGTACAGGTAAAGGCTGTCTGCTCACACGACACGCGACGAGGCTATTAATAGTTTAGCATTCGGGCTTACATATACACTATGGCAGCAAAGAATGTCCCCGAAGTGAACAAGGTTGTGTTTGCTGTAATCTTTTTCCCCGTCATTTATTGATTGGGCAAATTGGGACAATGGTCGATCACAGATTTTGTATAAAATGCAATATATTGGCCAATTTCAATCTAGCCGATCAGATCAGTGAAAGTAAGGCCCCTATCCCACGAAGGGGCGAACAATTGTGACTGATGGCGAGGGTAGAAAAATGCGTGTTCGCATCAGAGTTCGTCAGGGTTGGTTCAAATGGTTGCAAACATTCACGTGAAGTTCGCCAGATGTTTGCCAACAGTTTTAGTGGTTTTTTTTCTTGTTGCAAGGAAATTTTTGCGACAAGGGAAGCATAGGTGAACGTTTGTCGACCGTTTGGCGCACCTTTGCGAGCTTAAACGAACCCTGACGAATCCTGACAAGAACGCAACATTCGTTGCCTTCGAAAACACTTGCAGTCATTCGCCGCTCAGTGGGATGGTAAATACACATTTGGAAATGAAATTGCATAATTGAAAGATGAATTCTTGATGACGACAAAGGCCTTTGAATTGCTTCGTATGAATTTCCCGATGAGCGATCGCCACGGTCTGCAACCTGAGTCTGGCTTTTCACACTGGTTAGATACTCATTGAACTGGAAACTGCTCTTTTGGATGACGAGCCTCACTGGTACAAGCTCCAGACCCATGACGTGTCTTCCATCCCGCTCCCGCGTGCCTCGCCAAACACACAACGTAGGCAGCTTCATGGAGAAAGTCCAACACGGCGGCTTCAGAGTAAGTGCTGACTCTTTCACACACACACGTGTCGTAAAGCCCTGCTAAATGACTATGAGCATTTATGTCCTGTGTGTCACATCATTTGTACTGCTTTTGCTTTTGCAGACAAAGGCTCATATTCATACTCAGGTAAAGGTCCCGCACTCGTAGGCGGCACCGTTTTGCGGTGCATTTCAGTGTCTGCTATCCTCTCGACTGTTGCATTCCTCTGGCTTGATTCTGTACCCCACATCCGTGAAGGGCGCATGTGTCTGCTCCTTCACGTGTTGCAATGTGGCGAGCCGGTGTGTTAGTTACACCACTTTTGAAATCCGCACGGGTTAGCAGACATAGTACCCCCCTCAACATAATCGTCTCCGCCCGTTAAATGTCTCACAGTGCCACCCCGCAACCGAAAACCTTTTCCTGCAACAACTGTACTCAGCCCTAATGGTGTGGTCTAAAATGCTATAAAATCCCAATTTGCCCGTCGTGACTGATCGAAACCATTTGCTTTCCCTTTGTGACATTTCCCATTACAAGCAGGTCCCTTCAAATTAAAAGCCCAATTCCTCTGTCTCATTTTGCTCTGCTTGTATATATGTGTGTGTTCAATGTGACTGCTCTGTAAACTCACAGGGGCTATAGTACATCTTCTTATCACTCGTGAAATCCATGATGAACATTAAATGTTTTTCATCAGCCTCTTCCTTCTCTTTTGTTGTCATTTAACACACCCAATATGCTTATACAGTATATTGTACATACTGTACTCTTGACAGTTTCTTTTAAAATGCCTTTTGTGGGCACCTGATGATGGCTACTTGAGGGTTGAAAGTGATGACAGCTGTGAAAAGTTTGTGACACGCTGAGGTGAAAGGTTAGAAGCGGCATTACAGCGTGCAGCACTTGTCATTTATAATATGAGAAAATGTCCACTTGGCCGGAGTCAGCCATGACTGCAGACTGAAAGCACAGTGTGTGTGTGTGTGTGTGTGTGTGTGTGTGTGTGTGTGTGTGTGTGTGTGTGTGTGTGTGTGTGTGTGTGTGTGTGTGTGTGTGTGTTTGGCGGTAGAATTTTCAAGTGTGGTGATGCATACCAGTGTCAATGGATTCATGAAGATTTGTTTACTTTTTGGTCAGCAAAAGTGCTCCAAAAAAAAAGAAAAAAAAGAAAAGAAAATTCACATGTAAATAAGTCAACTTCACCGCAGTGCTTTTATTTAGACCGCAGTGATGTTTGATCTAAGGCCTTAATTGAAGTGCATTAAAACCTGTTTCATTCTTGACTTGCTCCACCCATTTCGCGACTCACGTTTTTCCACTTCTCTCTATCTTTATCTCAAAGGATCCCAGAGGATAAGTGATGGCGAGATCTCAGACTATGATTGTGAAGATGGTGTTGGGGTCATAACAGGTAACATACTCTGCTCATATTGACATTATAAACTTCTGTCTGAGTTGACCCGAACGTGTAATTTTAACCTCAGCATTTTACAAAGTGAAGTCTGGATAAAACAAGTAGATTAAGACTACGCACCCAATGTCAGCAGTAACAGCAGCAAGAAGAGGCAGTCGTGATCGTTTTTGTCTGCTTCTGCATTGCAACTTGGTATTTGTCTATTTTTACCAAATATCCAACTGAACGCCCACGCTGAACATCGGAATGAGAGCTCAAGCTGTTCGGAGAAAAGGGGTCACAAAATGAGAAGTACTTGAAATGTCGAACGTTAGTTTTATTTTGTAATGCAGTCGACCCCAGCACACTTGCAGTTCGGCACTTGCGGATTCGCATATTTGTGGATTTTTTGGGGATTTTTTGTTCCGATACTTTTTCATAATTTGTAACATGGAGGGGTTACGGGGAAAAATACTGCAAAAACCAAATGCACCATGACCCCTGTCGTGGTGCGTTCCAGTATTCTTCCCCCTGTTTCCTCCCATTGTTTGTGAATGTTTATCAGTGTATTCGGAAAATCGTTTTGGTTAGTACAATTACAAAAAAAAAAGGGTCCTCAATGCTACCTCCAAACAAACTATTTGGGGGTGTGCTCTAAAAGGCTCTTTACGATGAAAGGGATGCTACAGTATTTGATGATCAGGTGTCAGAGATGAATCTTTGTAGTCACCAAGCCCACGAAGCTTTATAGCATGCTAGTTTTTTGTTGTGCGGTTGGCATGCTTTAAAAGCACCACAAGATCCAAATAACTAATGGTTTGGTGTTACCCCTTCTTTCCTTGACATGTTCACAGACTACCGACCGAATGGCAGAGACTTCCAGAGCTCCACTTTGTCTGTCCCAGAACAGGTGATGTCTTCGAACCATTGTTCCCGGTCTGCTGAAATTCACAGAGCACGTTCACGCTCTCCAAGCGTTCCCCCACCTGCCAGGTAACTATCAACAAATATACAATTGGAATAAGCTTTTTTTTGTGTTTGTTTTTTTTTTTATCGTCTTTTTTTAAGTGTTCCTTTTGACCATATGTATTGTGATAATCACATTAATTTTAATTGTATTGCTTGTCATCCATTCAAATTTCAATTAAATTGTGGAGGGGTGGGGGAGAGATTAGGTTAATTTAGGGTAGCATTTGCCTAAAAGCAAGGGGTTGCAACCTCTGTACGCCTATATGCCTTCGGAATTCTCTGGGTTACGTGAATTTATTCATTAATTTTTTGGGATGAAAAATCGGGTAATTTAATCAAAATGATCTCTGACTCGTGAGTTCCTGGATGGAATCGGTGTATTACATAAAAATTGAACCAAATCTTTTTTTTTCCAGTTTGAGTACGCCTTATAGCGGCTGAATTTATGCCAAGGCTGCACACGCTACCAAGATCTTGAAACGGAGAAAAAGTGACCAGTAACCTTTCATCCTCTTATTATTTGTTCTCAGCATTGGAATATGTTTCTCAAAGTGTTCGGGCATAGCCTTGGCACCGTCAGACAATAGCTACTTTCCTCTTGTCCAATTATAGTTTGAATTTTCTCAAGGCTCCCTCTAAATCAGTGTCATAGACAGAGCAAACACACTTACCGAAATTGTCTAGATCAGGATTATGCTAAATCAGCTTTTTTTTTTTTTAAACCAAACAACATTCAGTTAAAGAATTAGTAAATGAGATAAATGAATTAAGGTCATTTGGATTTACTGTATGTTAAAAAAAAACAAAAAACAATTAGCCATTGTCTCCAGTTGCAGTCAACCTGCATCTGGTAACATACGTTGTCTTATTTTCCTTTTTGAAAGACTTGCTTTGAACTTTTGAAGGTTCTTGCAAAAAAAAAAAAAAAAAGTATCATCTCATCTGCATCACTGTGAGTTCGTCCACCTCTGGACCACCCCTCTCCTTCCTAGTATAGTCAACTTTATATGCAGTAACTTCTTTGATTTTCTTACATCACATAAAATAAGTGTATGTACATTTTAATATATTGTAACTTGTCAATTAAAATTCACGGTTTCCAGATACAACTGAAAGCCGACAGTTTTAGTGCCATTTACGTTATGACGACAGTGTAGACTTTGTATTCAAATGCTCGAACTTGTGCCAGACGTTTCGGTTAAACAGAAAACAAAAAGTGAACAACGAAACACCTCAGCCATGCATGATCAACATCGCGTCGTCAATATGTTCGTCCTTTTCATTGTTTTCATGCCAAGAGTCATTTCCTATCCTGCCTCAAATTGCCCATGCAGTCCCTCAGGCAGCAACCATTGCAGAATAGCCCTCAGTTCAGGATGCAGTCGCATGAAGGAGTGCATGCAAATTATCTGTGAATGGAAACTTAGCGGTTCAATTACAAGGTCCCACCCTCTCTTTGTGTTACCATCCCTTGCGGAGGAGAAAAACAACCACCTCTGACCAGCTGTGATATGATATTTTTTCCCAGCCAAAACCACCGTGTGTACCCAATCTGCCGTGAGGAAGCAGTCAGGTTACTGCGTTCCACTCGGATATCCCGTGCCTTTTCTGAGGGCGCCTACTCTTCTGACTATGACTTTGAGAGGTATTGACATGCAGTGCTGCTGCCTCTGTGCATCCGCAATGTCGACGTCTCCGTTGTTCATTTATCTGTGACTGTGATGCCAGAAAAGGATATTCTGTCGGATATCGGTTTCTGCCAAGGAGACATCACTGCTCTGAAGTTGTGTAAATGTACATGAACGGTACACAACTGTCTCTGTGTTTGTAGGCTGAGGCTCAGAGCTATTTCTGTTGCTGTTGTCGGCAGTACGACTTCAGTAAATCGCTGGCCAGCACGTGACTGTGGCTTTGTTGGTTTCTTTTATGTTTTTCCATTGACATTGCGCAAGCAGCTGTATGCTGATATGGGCTGTGCATGATCCTTAGTGTACTTTTCAGTCTATTGGCAGCTACCTTTTGCACACCAATACTTCGGGATGTAAGCTATATTGCTTGGAGCAGCTGAGTAACTCTGTGAATGCTGTCCTTGCCCTTTAAATTCTGCTGCCTGGCCAGAATGGGACATTGAGCTGATAACACCAGTGTACCCCCAGGACAAATGCCAGTGCCCCGCTGCACAAATAAAATGAAATAACTCACATGTTCCTTTTCCCAGAAACATTGTCAATGATCACTCAGTCTTCTGCCATCTGACTTTCAGTCAGAAATTCCATCGGTGCCTCTCTGCTCCTCCTCTGGGACGAACAACTGATGAGTTCTCCGAACTCTTTCAAAGTTTTTGACTGTTTTTATTAAAGTGTCTTAAAATGTCCCCAAAGCTCAGCTGGACTCCAAATCAGCACAGATGACCAGAAATGTTCACTCGTTGAGGAATCTGATGCTCTCCACTCCCCAACCCAATGCCGTTTGTTTGTCGGCATTCAGTCAGTAAAAGCAGCAAAAAGGCCTAAAGAGTGATCAGGGCGCAGGAAAGGCAAATACTAGGGGGCTAATATAAACAGAAGTGAATACATGTAAGCATGGGGGGACTTTTTGCTTTTTGGTTGACTTATTTAGGTGAGATCTCTCAAAGACTAAAAGGAAATGGTACTTGTGTTGAAGTGCACTGCCACAGAGTGTACCATGAGACAGCATTACAACAGGCCATCGCCATCCAATAACTACCGGTATGTGCTTGTCCAAAAAGTCAACATGCCGCCAAATTACACAGCTTGGTTTCTACCATGCTCACAGAAAGTGATTTTTTTGGCCATTACTGTAACTTTTTTTTTTTAGGGTGTCAAGCCTTGTTAACGTAATTAACTGATGAACTTCATTAAAGATTGAAACTTCCTCTGTAGAACACTCTTAACGCCACATGATTTTCGACATCGCATCATGAAACAAATTGATGTCTTACTGTCTAATAAGAAGACACCCCCCTGTGTTTATAGGAAGGACCTAACATGTCTTTACAAGTTTATCCAAGTTTGTATTTGTAGTCGCAGCCGACTGACATTTTTTATCATATGCATGCTCCAAAACCCAATTCTGTGCCACATGATGTACTGTATTCCTTCCTAATTGTCGTTCATTGGTGGGTTGTTTTCTTTCGTTCTTTCTTCCTTTCTTTTTTAAGCGTGTGTATCATTCATGTTGATTGTTGATAACTGTGTTAATTCTTTTTTTACAGCTCTTTTTTATATATACCCTGCGTGCCAAAATACTATGTTCTGCTGAGATGAGCAACTCAATGGAATATGAATATAACCGTCACTCACTGAGCACTTTGGTCCCCCAAACATGCTGCACATGAGCACTGTGCCAGTAGCATGAGCACACAATCTTATACCTTGCACACTTCACAACTACTGTATCTCACTAAATTCCCTGTTTAAAAAAATAAATAAATAACAGAAGCATCAAATGGCATGGCAAATAGTTGCCCCGCCTCATTTAGCCATTCACATTGTCCACAAGGCTCAGTCATTGCATGCACTGAAATTTCAATCAGATAAAATATAAAAATTTCAGCTACTGTTCTGAGTTGCTGAATCATTTGATTTGATATCTTTTGTTCATAAGTTGCTCCTAAAGGACCACACTTGTATTTTTGTATGCTTCAAGTTCAGGTGCAGTTATTGACAGTAAATGCAGTACAACATTTGGAAGCAATCTTCAGAATGAATAATGAATCAGGAAATATGCACCATGATAAGAATAGTTTCATATTATTGTGGAGAAAAAAAAAATACTATGACATGATCGAGCATTCTGATCACTGCGGCAGCCCTCCTAATAGTCATGTTGCACTGTTCCGGGGTTGGAAAACATTTCTTCGATAATAGTATGGAAAGTGTTGAGTAAAAACTGCTGACAAAGGCAAAAACGCATGTGTGGTCCTGACTGAACACATGCCCAGCCATTGGTGAGGTGCGCCGATTTGGAGGCTAACCGCTGTCGCCCGCGCTGACCTCCCTTCCAGTCGACTGTCCCTGCCACAAGGGGCCCACTGAGTTCCTGCCTATCTCTCAATAACATCTATAGGAGCCACGGAGCCATGGATAGACACGAGTATCACATCAGGTCCCGTTCTGCAGACCAGCGGCCCACAATAGAGCGCCCCGCATCCCGATCACGCTCCACTGAACGCCCCCACGACTCATCGATGATGAGGTCCTTGCCGTCTCTGCCATCTGGGAGGTCAGCCCCTCCCTCACCTGCCATGACGAGGTGTGACCCAGATTGGAGTCGTCAATCAACTCATCACAATTTCAGACGCTGGGCCTTACCGTGACTTCCCTGAAGGCTTTTTAACTGTGAGGGAGAATAAACCCAACATAAAGTTAGGATTTCCCGCATTTGTTGATGAAAATGAAGTCCAGCGAAAATTAAGATGCAGCCAACGGATTCCCGGTTAGGTTTGCAGTACAATTAATTTTCGGGCAGCTGTTAGACTGCTACATACATATTCCTAAAATTATCGGTACTGCTCATTACATGAGATCCTGTTACTTTAGGCTTAGGGATCATTGCTAATTCCACTTCCACTAAAACGTTTGATGACTAGACTCCCTTCCCCACAAGTTCGCACTCACCCTAAACCAGCTCACCCGACTAACCCAGAACGAATGACGGAAATCATTTCACCACCACCCAACGCACACAATCTCGATACCTGCTCGCCTTACCTTATTTCACCTAAAATGCACCCACCTTGCCCATTTCTGTTTTTGTTCACAAGAATACTGATGCTGCATTTTCTTACATGTCCAAAGCACGCCAAACCTGGCACCAGATCCCGTGCCGATTCATTTTGATTTTGGAACACACTGCTCATACACCTGTGTGAGTATAGCAGTGTTGGCCTGACTTTGCTTTTGTTTGGTTACTAACACGGACTGATACTTTGTGTCCCTTTTGATGGCATCCTATGTTTGTATGTTTTCCTTTCTGATTTGAGTTCAAGCCCTTTTGGAGACGCTCCGAACGCATGGTCGCAATGGTCTGCTGATTCTGCATTGAACTTTTTTCTTCTTGCAGCGTGATGACTGACTGCACATGTGTTTCAACGCCTCTGTGTTTTTGTTTTTGTTTTTCTGTTTGGTTTTTTTTGTTTTTGTTTTGCAGCTCAGTTCCGAACAGTTGATGTGTCCCTTCACTCCCATGCCATGTGCCAAACTTCATTATGCGTGCGTTGTATTTAGGGATGCCAAGTGCACTGAATTCTAGATTGATCTCCCCGTTGTGTTGTAAACTACCTCACGCTGACCTTAATCTGGTCAAAGCAAGTAGTTAAATTAATGCAGTGATGACATTTACATGGTCAGATTGAGGAGAATAGATACGGATTGAAATGTTAGCTTTGTGTTATGTCATACGTTTTACATGGCTGCATCCAGATGACCTGTGCTTAGTGTGTCTTACCACACTTTTAACAACTTTGTGTCATACAGGGCGCACCCGCGTAGTGGATCTGTCCAGACCAGTCCAAACAGTACGCCCATGTCCCACAGACGAGGTCGGCAACTCCCCCAGCTTCCATCCACAGGGAAGGAGAGAAGTAAGTCATCCGGTTATTTTCTCTTCTTTTTATTCCTCGGACAGATTTTCATATTGTGGGCTAGCTGTGTGATGTCACTCCGATTTTTATTCCCACACTTCACTTTGAGAAATGTGAAATAGATGTTTGTTGGTTCTTCTTTCTTGTGGTCTGAATGATTTCGTACTTGATTGAGGTTACATAACATGTCTGCTCGGTTCCCTTCCCATTTCCCTCGTAGAAGATGGAGATGAAGGAACCGAGCCTTGTGAAGGTTCGTACCTGTGTGTGAGGAGTTTGCGTCGTCAGCGTGAATGGTGCTTGAGCCACACCTCACGCTGAACCCCGAAACCCTCTCTGCAACGGTGGTTGCAGATATGTTTGATGTCGTGTACTGTATGTCGTGTTAACTCTTGTTTTGTCGTCATATATTTCCTCTGTGCTGGCCTGTCTGGATCCCGCTCCTAGTCTTCTTTTCTTGTGTCTTTGTCTTGGGTTCGTGTTGTGATTTATTTATTTATTTTTACATTTAGACTAGCTGAGGCATTATCCCTGGATAAAGTTCTCTTTTTTTTTTAACCAGTACTTCCGACATAATTAACCATCCAAGTCTCATCTTTTGCATCGTTCTTGCTGATGCAAAGTGACATTTTAAGATACAGAACATATATCCTCAGCACCCTTTTAAAACACGTTTACTCTCCTAATACCCTATAAAATTGATGTGTTTAAAGCAATCGCTTCATGTGGGTTTTTTTTTTTCTTTCCCCGAAGCCACCGGTGTGGCTTACAGTGATTGAGGGCTGGGATAAATCTTGCAGGAATTAAAAAGCACAGACAGTCCTGTAGGACTTGTCAAATCATTTGCAAGACTCTTTCATCATTGTCAGAGTCCATTAGGGCGCTCTTTGTCTTCTCGACACTGCTCTTCTCTCTGTTGCTCTCTCAGTCCTGCCTTCTGTAATTCTTCAAGCATTTTTAGTAGTACTCTCGCTATCTGGGCCTCACAAAACTGATTTGGACCCTGTCTAATCTAGTGTGTGCTTAAATGCGTGGCTGTTTTTTTTTTTTGTTTTTGTAGTTTTTTTTTTTCCCAGCCACTATTCCTGTTCCTAGATTGTATCATATTCCCTGTTTATATGCCATTGATCTGGTCTTTGATGATGTGCCAGTACTGCAATACAATGCCCGCTGTAGTGTCAAGTGACTCTTGGATATACTGATTTTTTTGGAATACTCTTTTGAGAATAACAGTCAGGAGCAGTGGTTCTTAACCTGGGTTTGATCAAACCCCAGGGGTTCGGTGAGTCGGTCTCAGGGATTTGACGGAGCCTCTGCCATGGAGGTTTGGACACAGCCCACTCAACATGTCAATTAGTTATGACACGCCCACTTGGCTGCGGATGATCACATTGCATTGCTTGTCCAATGCAACGTGACCGCTGGCTGTGGGAAACTTAGTTCGCTTAGTAGTCAACGTGTGACTGTCGTGAACATTTTTTTTTAAAAAAGGACACTTATCTCTTGAAATGTTATTTACTTTTTTCTCTTTTTAATAAGTGTGTTTTTTTCATATCTTGAATTTATAAATGTTTATATCTATTTTTTTTTATTTTTCACTCATGAAGGGTTCGGTGTACATGCATAATAACTGGTTGGGTTCGGTACCTCTAAAATGGTTAAGAACCACTGGTCAGGAGTCCGTGCAAAGTATTGGCTAGCAGAGAAAAAGTGTTGGCAGATCTATTCATTGATTAATTTGTATTAAAAATAAGAAATGTCTTAATAATATGTAGTCTTGTTTAATGTTTGAAAATTTTGACCATTTATGAGCCACCTTCTGTGTTTCCACCAGTAGCATATTGTACAGAAAAGATTCAAAGCGCACCAGTAAATGGGAGGAAAGGCAAGTCCTCTGGCATGTGTGACTGTGTTTGATTTCCTCTATTGGCTATCCCTGACCAAATTCGTTTCTTTGAGCTCCGTATTCTTTACTTTTCTCTCCTCCTACTCTTTCTCTGCATTTATTTGTGGAGTAGCGGATATATTAGGGTTAAATTCAGAAGTATGCATGGTTGGACCGTACTTGAATTTCAAAGTCATATGGATAGAGCTCTGTAATTTTGATCTTTGCTTCTGCCATACGGCATCCTAGACCGTATCTGTGCTGTCCTCTTTAACAGGAGTCAATAATTCACAGTTTCATTATTAAAATGCAAACCACTGAAATTTCACGTGGTCAATAATTCACAGTCAATAATTCACAGTTTCATTATTAAAATGCAAACCACTGAAATTTCACGTGGATTACCAAATACGCCCCCCCGCCCCCCACACACACTTTCAGTTAAATATTACAATTAAAATAATGCAAAGAATATTCATCCCAGAACATCCCTTTTTCTGTTCCAGGGGACATACTCGACATCATGATTGATGTGTTTTGGCTGAGAAGCAAGTATGTCATTACCGTTGTTGACCAGGAGATGGCGCGCATGTAACAATAAATGTAAACCTAAATGACAAGGGAGCTGTTCATTGTTTGGTGCTGAAGAGGAAAGGAGCTTTCTCTCTCTCTTGCCCTTACCTCAGCCTTTTAAAACCGAAACGCTTCATTTTGTCATTTTAAGTCGGCTGAAAACTTATAAAAAACGCATGTGAGTTTGTGTCATGATTCCACCTTGCCTTAGGTGTTTTTGTGTATTTGTGTTTGTGTCTGCCTTTTTAGAAGTAACTTGGGAGGACCAGCAGCGAGGGCTTAATGGCTCGCTGTCTGATGAAGGGACACATCCCTCCCTTGGTGTCGCAGGTTTGTTGGTCTGGGTGTGCAGTCTGCCTCTTTTAATAATGCCCTGTGTCAGTTTCGTGGAGTCCTGGTCTCCTCAAGCCCATCCACTTACCAAAAAAGAGAAAAATTATCTTGTCATGTCAGATCTATATTAGGTGTTGTAATCATTGAATTGTTTATTAAATGTGAACATGCAGTCAATGGATGGCTTCCTTCAGTTTGCCTTTCTTGTCTATGCGTGTGGTGTTGCGGTGCTGCATGGAGTTGACACATCTGGACAAGAATAATGAAAGTAATAGTAGCAGGGCAGCATGGTGTGTAGCGTGTCTGCCCCACAACTTTAAGGCGTGTCTTTTTACTATCAACTTGTTCTTTTGTGGGTTTGCTTCTGGCTACTTCACTACAAACATGCACACATGTTCATGAAAGACTCTCGTCAATATGTGTGAACATGAGTGTCAATGGTTGCTTATGTGCCGTTTGCCACTTTGAAATGTGATATGGTGAATTATACGACACCCGTTTACTTCATTAAAATGTGTTGATGTGCAAATGTATGCATAACATTAAACAGTGGAAGTCATATAACAATGACTGAAAAATCAAGAGGTATAAATAGGCAGAATAATATAAACAGTGTGAATGATAATGAATCATATTGATTATGTATAACGTTTCTGCACAGTGTTCAGAAGTATTTTTCTCACACACACACACACACACACACACACACACACACACACACACACACACACACACACACACACACACACACACACACACAGTGGAAAGTTCTTATGTCAGTATAAAGATGACCTACACCATTGTTTCCAGCAGCGTAAGTTTGCTGGAGAAAGAGCTCTTCTGCTGTAACTGAGTGTCATAAAAAGGGTGTAAATGAAGGTACGTGATGGAGACAGGTTTGTTCAGTCACCACAGGTCTCTCGCTCAATCAAATGTCTCCATCTTCAATCCCAAGATGTCAGCAGCCTTCTTCATTAGTTTCACGCCACAACATTCCACACCATGCCGCAAACAAAGCCTTGTCATTGTTTTGTGGATTTGATACAAGACAACTACTGCTACATCTACAATTACTTCTAGTAGTCGAAGTAGTAGTAGTAGTAGTGGTAGTAGTAGAAGTAGTAATAGGGGTACTAGTGTGTTGGTGAATCAAATCTCTGGTAAAACTGGTCGTATATAGTGCTACGGCTGTGCTTCTTAAAGTAGTAGTAATAGATCATATTTTTAGTGTTGGTGAAGTCTTAATATCAATTCAGAACTTGCATGTCTAGGTGTCCTATTTTTAAAGCATAGCAACTTATACTCAACTACATGAGGTCAGTGAAGACATCAAATTTCGCTTGATGAGACGATTATTATTTGATTCTCATTACAGTGTGACGTTAGCTTGCACCAAGAGATGAAAGCTGCTAAGGCACATCACAAGTCTCACAAAATATTTTAATTAACGTGACACTCCGTTACTGACCTGAATTTTCAACTAATGAGCTTAATGCAAACTGCCCAAAAGAATTAGGTCTGGAGAAGACTCATTGTTTTTCTGTATCTGCACTCACTGCTGCGTTGTCGATTTGCGACACACAGAGATGAAGAAGTGAAACAAACAAGAGCTGTGGGAAATAAGTCACAAACTGTTTGCTGATTCAAACACATTTATTTACCGAAGGGAAAGCAAATATTTGCCAGAATATTTCAGGGTTGAAGTTGGCTGCAAATGTGAAGGGACTGGTGAAAGGGGGAAAAATGTTTGACTGATTGAAAAAGAACAATGTGAAAGCAGGCAGTGAATGTGTCACATCATTTTCTTTCATGAGTCTAATGCTTGTGTGTGTTTAGCCGTCCACTTACTCTTGGTGTATTTCCCAACGCCCTTGTGCTTGTGTGCCTTTTCCTTTGTGTGCTTTCCTGATTGCAGCTCTGTATTTGCGTGTCTTTGAATTATAATTTTACATCTTTATTCCAGACTTCACAAAGTTGACCTATACAGGCTCAATTGACCTCTCCTTCCTCTCTTACCTACCCCGCTTTCACCCCTCCAATTCCCAGAGAGCTCAAGTTTCCGTTTGGTTCAGTGCATTAACACGTCTTTATTATTACAGATTTTGTTCTGCACAGAGCCTTCCCCAATCCCGGCTCCGCTCCAGTTATCTAATAATGAAAATTCTACCTCAGCTTCTTACAGCATCACATCCTCTTGCACTATTTTTGCTTTTATGCCCATTGTGGAGTTTTTTTTTGTTCTTGTTGCATTATTTGTGTGTGTGTGTGTGTGTGTGTGTGTGTGTGTGTGTGTGTGTGTGTGTGTGTTTCGTGTTTTATGTTCACTGATGACCATTGCTTTGTCATTGTTGTTTCGTATCGTTGTACTATGTGACCTCCCTTCCCCGAGCCTTCATTCTCACCATCCAAACAGTGGCCTTTTCTGTCATTAGGTGTGATGGTGTCACACTCCCTCTAACTTCACCCTAACCCCTTCTTGCATCCTCTCACATCCATCTTCCTCTCCTCTCTCTGTGTCTGTCCATTCTGGATGTGATCGCAGAAGACACTGCCTCACCAAGTTGGACGAACTCAGGTCTGTCCTTTCTTCATCACCCTCTTCCTTCTCTGATTCTGCTTGCACCCACCAATCACCCCAAACGAGTCTCCCTGACTTACCCTTGCCACCTATTTCAACTGACCTCAGTTGTCTTTTAAGCTTTGCTTGCTATTTGTGCTCGAAATTGTCCTGGTCAAAGCACTTGTTGCTGATGGTCATTTTCACTGTTCAGACTGTACGGCTTGAACGAAGAAAATCATCTCATTGTCACAACATTGTAATCCTTGTAATAGCTCTCATTGCCAGATGCCATTCTTTTATATCACCAAAAAAGACATAGAAAACATGAAATAAAACAAATATGTGGTGACATTGTCTCAAATTCCTCAAAACGGATACAATGTACTGGTCTCTACACATATAAAGAATGAATCATGATCTGATGGATTCATTTTACTCTCACATAATCAGATCCCCAGACAAATTCAGTGCAGAATTGCAGTGGGTTCTCATTTTGGTTTTTTATAGATGTGTGAACCAAAAAAATGCATCAACTCAGTACTGAAGTTATTGATCAAAAACCATTGTAGAGCATATTACACTGTGACAGGCAGCTTAACACATAACACAGGTTTGAAATGCTCTCAATGACATTTACTTGCTTGACCTCAGTGTTGGATGCCCTTGCAGGGCTTAAGATACGGACCTATTTTTTTCTTCAGCACTATCTACAGTGAGATTTCAATTTTAGCCTTCATAAATATTGTTCACTAATCAGATTTTCTTGCAACAGAGTCATTAATAACACGGTCTTTCTAATGAAAAGAAAAATCTGAGCATTGGCCATAACATCAGTGACAATAAACAGATAGCTAGTACTGGAGAAAAAGGCTTTGTAATCATTTGCTCTCCTTTTTCCGTTGTTTGTCGGTGTGTGTGTACAACTAGTATTATTCATCATCACGTTAACTCTGAAGACAGCAGAATAGGTTTGACATAGACTTAATAATAATTGTGTTTATACTTTGTTTGACTGCCCAGCAAATGGCTTGCGAAAAATCAAGGGTCTACAGTACGTACAGTATGTTAGTAAGTTAGCTCGGTTAAGTGGCATCCCACTCGCAGCGCTAATGAGAACAAGCAGTATGGAAAATGAATGGATGGCTTTGATGATACTAATAATGATATATAATAATAATGATAATAATGATCAATATCAGAATTGCATAGCACTTTTCATAATACTATAGATGCTCTACAACAAACAGAGGTATAAAAAAAAAACAGACAGTGCTAATGGGCTTTAGATTCCGACTAGGACCTGAACCACCACCCCATTGGTCGATCAAGCATAAGGACTTGAGGGTCCTCATACAATATGTTGCACGGTATCATTTTTTAAAATCCATAAAAAGATGGAGCGTCCGTCAAGGAAAAAACAGGTTGAGACAGAAAGAGGACATGGATGAGAAAAAAGATGGGGATGTATTGAAAGACAGGGCTCACTCTTATTCATTTAAATGTAAGCAGTTTGTACATATGCCACATCCATATTTTTTTTTATTTAATGTTTTTACCACAAGCTTCGCTATTTCAGCCACAGGTACATATGAACTCATAAATATGGTTACGTATTGTTGTAAACCACAATATGCATACTGTATATAATGTATTTCTGTTGCTTGGCAGTGCGTGATGAGTGGCTGTGTTTTGCTTGCTTATAACCCTGAAATGGATTTTTCGACTGTCTGAAAGCTTGCGTGCATTTTGATGACTATAATTTGCATAGTTGCCACATCATGCAACTGCGATTCAAATGTTTGAGTCGCCGCAAAACTGGTGGGCTCTTGTGGCAAAACCCCGCACACTGCACGAATGGAGTTCTGCCGCTTTGCTCATTGTGCGGCGGCCCAAACAGAAAGAGGAATGGCGTGTAGGAGTATGGTCAGATGTAAGATATTTCGAAAAGGTGGGAGTTGAATTGACTTTTAAATGAGGTGAGGGTGTCAGAGTCCCTGAAGTCAATGGACAGGGAGTTCCAGAGGGTTGAAGTAGTGGTGGCAAAGGTCCCGTCTGCCACAGTGTGGTGTCGGAGTCGTCTGAGGGTTTTCATGGTGTTTTAATGAGAAAGGTGGACCCGAATGCAGGAAGCAGGCCAAGTGAGACAGCTTTGCAGGTGCTTTTTCAAAAAACATGACTGACAACAACATTGATATATCACACTGGTGGCGGCGCGCACAGACGCGAAGTCAGGAGCTCTCCCTTTGGTTGCAGTATTAGTTGTATATTTGTATATATTTTTTCTCTCCCAGTTAGTAACCTGCTGGGCGAAGGTCATGTACAACCGACAAGACCTATTAGACATTGGATTACGATGTGAACACGCCATTACGGCCGAATTCACGAAACACAACAACATACCAGTGGATATTGCGCGCCAACCTGGGTCTCCATGGATAACACCGGGAATACGACGTCGAAGGAAGCGCCGCGGCGACCGTGGAGGAGCGCTAAACAGATTGAAGCGCGACCCACACAGACCATCCATTCCGAGCCTTTTCCTTGCTAACGTGAGGTCATTGGCAACAAAAATGGACGAGTTGAGACTCAGGGTGGCGACAAAGACCATCAACAGCTGTGCACTACTCATCACCGAGAGTTGGCTAACACCTAGCATCTCGGATGCTAACATTGAAATCCCTGGGTACACAATTCACCGACAAGACCGCAGCAAAGAGTCCACAGGGAAATCACGGGGCGGTGGAGTAGTGATCTACCTAAACAACAACTGGACTTCAGACTCCAAGCTGGTAAGCAGTCACTGCTCCCAAGACCTGGAATATATAACAGTAAAGTGCAGACCATTCCACCTGGCCAGAGAACACTGTGCCGTCTTCATTACTGTTGTGTATATAGCCCCGGATGCTAACGCTAGCATAGCATTATCCACCCTCCACGATACCATCAGCGCCCAACAAAACAAATACCCCCACGCCGTCCACATAACAGCGGGGGACTTCAACCAGACGAACCTTAAGTCAGTGCTCCCTAAACTATACCAGCATGTGAAGTGTGCCACAAGGGGAGATAACACACTGGACAAGGTCTACACAAACATCAAGAACGGCTATAGGGCCAGACAATTGCCCCAACTTGATCAGTCTGATCACATGTCCCTGCTCCTGATACCAGCATACAAACCTATCAAGAAAAGCGCCCCCATCACAACAAAAACTGTGAAAACATGGCCGGAGGGCGCCATGGAACAGCTTCAGGACTGCTTTGCAACAACAGACTGGTCGGTCTTTGAAAACAGGGACCTTGAACAGTACACAGCATCTGTCCTAGGCTACATCACACACTGCATGGACACTGTCACGAAGGAGAAACGCATTCGGATATACCCAAACCGGAAGCCCTGGATGACAAAAGAAGTGCAGTGCCTACTCAAAGACAGGGACACAGCCTTTAAGAAAGGAGATCAGGCGCTCTACAGTGCCGCCAGGGCTAACCTGAAAAGAGGAATCAGGAAAGCTAAGGCGGACTACAAGAGCAAGATCGAGGACTGCCTACAGAGCAATAACACCAGGAAAGTATGGCAGGGAATACAGCACATCACCAACTTCAGACCCTGCAAACCCACGGCTGACGGCGACGCCACCACAGCAGAGGAGCTAAACAGCTTCTTTGCGCGGTTCGAGAGAGAGCCACCAACAGCCACACCCGCCCACACCC